TCGTAACACTTGTCTTTTGCCTGTCTTATGTGCTGGATTTGTGTTTGGGTGTTGTGTCCTCCCAACTCCCCCGTGCCGTCCATCCGATGTGTTGCCTCATTGCCTTTGCCTTGATGTCGCTTCTTGTCTTTTCCCTGTCGTGCCTGCCTTATGTGCTGGATGTGTGCTTGGGTGTTGTGGGTCCAGCATCCCAATTATACAACAGGAGCGCGAGTAGTCATAATTTCTTAAACGGTGAGCAACATTGATTGCCCTTGTGCGAGGGGCTTAGCGGCCCATCTAGACCAAAGGCCGGGTGCACACACCAAGCCACAGCCCCTATCACAAAGCTCAACGTGGATCCACCATCCATCTTCTCTTTTCAAATCCATCCATACAGCACATGTTTGAGCAGCGGCTGAACAAGGGAAGATCGTAATGCAGCCAGAAGCGCTCCCTCGGATCAGATTACAACAGATCACATCACAGAACGACATCAGGATAGATTGATTATATGAAAATCCAATCAAACCAAATCCAATTATATCAAATCAAATCAAATCGTAGTCAAATCAAATGATGGTCAAATCGAATGATTGTCGAATCAAAATCAAAACATTTTGAGGGGAGAAATTCAGCGAACACGCCGAACAGTACGGCACATGTTGGAGGGAAGACTGAACAAGGGAAGCGCTCCCTCGTATCAGATTACAACTGTTCACATCATGGAGCGACATCAGGAGAGATCAATTATATGAAATCGAATCGTACCAAATTCAATTATATGTCAAATCAGATAAAATCATATCAAATCAAATCAAACCCTTTTGAGGAGAGGGAAAATTCAGCGCTGAACAGCAAAATCTTCCCCCTTAGATGAAAAATGCACAGACAAGAAGAAGATACAAAGGGGAAGAGCAGAAGACTGATAGTGATCACCATCCCATCCTTGGCGGAAGACAAACCGCTATCCAATACCCACCCGAGTTGAAACGGAAGAAATCCAAACGAACTGAAAAACCACCAAACACACATCCAGCGCCGGCCGTGACCAGAACCCAGGGCGGGCCAGTTCCATGACGATACGTCAAGGTCATTGCCCTTTTAGAAAGACGAGAAAATTACTGAGAGCATGCTGCAATAGGGGGAGACGGAAAAGGGGAAAGGGGTGTTTTTGTAGGGGCATTTACAGAATACAGATGAGAGTAAGAAGCCAACATCATTGTGTGCTCCTCTACGAGACTGAAGTTCAACACAAACTCACTGGCAGCATCCTGTAGCAGACTGCTCCACTGAAAACACGCTGCGGAAACCAACATGCGGAGAACATACTCTGTGTTGCATTGCTCGAAAAGACGGAGTTATGCTGACACAAGTGGTTAACAGGGACCCCCACTTTTCAGCCCCAGGTTAACACCCCCAACACTGAAAAGTGCATTTGGGGATGAGAGGTGCACAAACAAATGGATGTGACAGACGCAAACTGCCGGAGGGTAGTCAGTGATATCGGTAGAGGCCGATACCAGTAAAGGCCTTCAACAGGTGATGCTTTATCGATTCATAATAAAGCATTTAAACCCTCTGCGATGCGCGCAACCCATTTGTTGCAGCAGCGGGCCAAACATTTGTTGAGACGTGTCACCGAAAAAAGGTGAGCCATCAGCAAGCACACAGACAACCTGAGATGTCAATCTCAGCAGAGAATGGGGAGAATATAGCAGATAGCCTGAAGGACCAACTCCCTTGGATCCAAAGTGCCTGGGCAAATGTTGTCCCAGGCTGCTAACTCCCTTTGCTAGAAATGGAAAGACAACTACTGTGAGGTTTCCTTCAACACTTGCGTGGTTGAGCACGAAGCGACCACAGTTGCGTACCCAGAAGCATGCTTGCACTCTCCCGTGGTCGCTTCCCAGAAGCATGCTTGCACTCTCCCGTAGCCAGCATGGCGAAGATACAGCACTACAGTAGAGTAGTATAGACAACGAAAAAGGGCAAGACTGGAAAGGAAATGAAAGGAGGATTAAATCCAAGAGTGGACAGGGGGACATCACAGCGGTCCCTACCTCCAGACCTGTAACTGAGACAGCCCGCCCTTGACTTCCCAGACCTGAGGTAATTCCGAATCATCGTAATTTTACTCATCTGCTTCCGGTGGAGTTCAGGGGTGTACCAACTGAGCTACCGTCTTCACCCGAATAGAACGCCCGGTCATTATAGCTCTATTTGAGCCAACTTCCAGTCTAAACACAGCGATAATGACCGGGCGTTCTACTCGGGTGAAGACGGTAGGCCGTTTGGAGAGACAGCCCATTCTTGACTCATCGTAATTTAACTCAGGTCTGCATTTCAACAGTTCAGGGGTGTACCACCTGAGCTAGGCCTTTTGGAGAGACAGCCCATTCTTGACTTTCCAAATATCTGTTGACAGCTCAGCAGTGTGACACCCCTCGTGCACAACCCCAAGCAGCAATACACCCAGGCAGAACCACAAGCAGCAATACACCAGAACCACAGGCCGTCGCCCTCTGGTAAAACAACACCCACAGTCCGAAAAACTCTGCGACTCTTGCCTCTCATCACAGGAGTTTCACACGTCAGGTCTGCCGCCAAGCATATTACCCCACGTGAGCTGCATGACCTGCATTTTCCCTGCCAATGGCCTGCTCATCGTCGCACCAGCCATAAAGAATCGAGTTGTCACAACACTTCCAATGGCAGCTTAGGAGACCTTCTCCACCAGAGAGAACAACTCTGACCGAGAACTCGGGCTGCCGTAAGGGTTCGATCTTTCCACCTTACGGTACGTTGGTCTGCAGACAAGTCTGTAGAAGGACGTCCCTCGGCTGCACAAAAAGTTCGTTAGGGATACTCGAGAAACATATCACCAATCCAACACAGAATAAAGAATGCACAAAGAAAATCCTGGCGGTGCTGTTATCATCCCAAGACCGTAGGACGTCACAGGATTTTTTGCAGTTGAAAAAAAGAAAGAAGGAAAGAAAAAACAGATAGAATGCACAAAGAAGAGCTTGCCTACTAATAGAAAAAAATAGCTTTGTATCGGCACATTCCAGGCTAGCAACACAGGGACAGAAACATTATCACGAAACGCCGTCCAGTCCGCCAAAACATCATCCGTTAAAACTGCAGCAATACAGAGAAGATTAGCATGACTCCTGCAGACAAGAGCAATACAGAGAAAGATTAGCATGACTCCTGCACAAGCATGGCGGCATACAGAAAGTTAAAAATGGCATGGATTTCAGTGAAAAATAAAAGTGATTCAAAGTCCATGACAATACAGAAGTAAAGAGTCCGGCAAACGAGAAAGCAGCCACGACTAGCATCCCACTCAAGCGCGGCTGAAATATAATCTGCAACCCACTTCCCGAATAACAGATCCAGTTAAACGGGAATACTCGCCAGTCCAATCCGAGCTGTTCGATTCCTGAACATAAATAACTAGAAAGGCAGAGAGAGAGAGAGAGAGAGAGAGAGAGAGAGAGAGAGAGAGAGAGAGAGAGAGAGAGAGAGGGGGGGGGGGGGGGGGGG